CGAAGACAAAATTTATTGCATGATTTGCCGAAAAAGTATTGCATACTCAGTGCGAATCGTGTATGAACATTTTCGTAGCATTGAACACTCATTTTTCTTAACGCAAATGATCCAGGATCACATCAAGTTCCAGGGTGTTCCAGATGAACTGAGTGATCTGAGTTTAGCTCGTGAATTTATGGAAGACAAAAATTATCGGCATGTTGTTTGCCACGTTTGTGATTCTACTAATCCTAGATTTATTCCAAACACCGACGAAGCTTTGAAGAATCATATCAATCAATACAAACATCTGAAAAGCAAATGCAAATTGAATAGCGACTTGCAACAATTCAAGACCGATTTTCATGCAAGATTAGAACGTAGTTGGTCGAATACACAAAGGTATTGGTGTGTGATTTGCAGCGAGCAATTTAAGTATGAAAAAACATTTTATAAACATTTAAGTTCAAAACATCATCACAAAGGGTGCGACAAATATATGGAATATGAGAATTTTGTATGTGATTTCTGCCCTCCGTGCGGTTTGCTTTTCTATGGCTTTAAAAATACTTTAACTTATCACTCGGATTGTCAATTTCATCAGTATTATGCAGATAGACCGTTTTACTCTATAACACGGCTGCCAACTGCTGTTGAAGATCTACTGGCCAATACAGAGAAAATGATGAATTCGAAAATTGAAGAATTAGATTTGGTAAATATTTTGATGGAACACGAAGAAAAATCTTTGATTGATGATCTCAAGTATACTATAAACAATTTCATAAAAGCTGAAATTTATCCGTTTGGTTCGAGAGCTTCGGGACTTGGGCTTGCAAGCAGTGATCTTGATTTATTCGTTGATTGTGGTATGTATAAAGTACATTTTTTTAAATACATTTTACTTATGTAATCGATTTAATAACATTGTAAAATTATTTACAGATAATTTATACTACAAAGGGACTATTGAGACTGATAAATCGGAGCTTTTGAAAGAAGTAGAGCACGCTTTAAAACAGAATGAAGATATTTGGACAATCAAACGAACAGTTTTGGATTGTAGAATCCCAATCATTACTATTACTCATCAACTTACTAGTATTGATAGCGATTTATCTTTTATTAATGGACTTTCCGTTGAAAGTTCAAAGTTAGTTAAGTAAGTAAAACCATTATGATTTAATTTTTTTTGTTTATTTATTACTTTATCAGTTAACAGGTTTTAGTTGTAAAAAACTACAAAATTTTTAAATAAGAAATGGTTGAAGAAAATATAAAATATTTATTTTTCATAATTAAAAAAACCTGGTGACTGTTACTAATTATTTGTTTTTTAAAAAGTTAATCACATAATTAATATTTTTTTTTTTTTTATTTTAGGTCCTACATTGATAAATTCCCATTGTGCAGGCAACTAATTTTATTTGTAAAAGACTGGATAAATATAAGTAATCTTGGTGGTGAAGATGGAATTTGCAATTACGCAATTGTTTGGATGATGATATATTATTTACAAACAAAGTTTATTTTACCAAATGTTGCAGCATTGATAAAAGCCAAAGGAAAGTCACAATTGATTGGTGGTTGGGAGACTGGAGCTTCCACAGATTTTTCTATAGCCGATTGTGATTATAACTTTAAAGATTTGTTGAAAGGGTTTTTCATTATGTGTGCAGGTTTTGATTATAAAAATAATATTATTTGTCCTTTATTAGGTCGTCCAGTTAGAAAATTAGACATCGTTAAGCCGGCAAAACTAACGAATTTGCCTGATGAAATGAAACTATACAAAACTTTTGTAACTAAAAATAAAAAAGCTCAACGATTTAGTTTAGATTCCGTAATGGCAGTCCAAGATCCGTATGATCTTAGTAATAATTTAACAAAAGCTGTTAAGAAATCTACAATGTATCGATTTAAAACTTATTGCTCATTGAGCGGTGGAAAATTAGCTAATTAATTAATTAAAATTTTTTGAAATCTTTAATAATATTTTAGTCCAAATAGAACTGATTTAATTAATTAATATTCAAGATTAGCAATGTAAAAAAACTTTATTTGTTATTTATGAATTACTCTAGTGCCTTAAACTAGAAAGAAATAATTACACTATAACTATTTATAATTTTTTATTTAAAGATTTCATACCTATTTATAAATAAAGTTATTATTGACTGAAAATTGTTTTTTTGTTAAAAAAAAAAAATCATTTCATAATCATACTGATAAATTATTATTATTATTAGATTTGGAAATTGTATTCTAAAGATAATTAAATTTAATTGTTTGTTTATGTATAATAATCCAAGCATTTTAGTATATAAGACAATTGAAATGCCAAATTTGCTCAGTATCAAATAGGCCTCCTAGATAGAAAATGACCGAAAAAAAAAATTATAAATCCTGGGATTTACTTTGCGTTCCAAGTCTATTTAGGAGAAGATCTCACCACGGAGAAATAAGATATTAAAAAAAATCCACACTTACTGCATTAGCACCACGAAATGTTGCTTCAAGAATCCGGGAAGATGAATTTCTTCCAGACTTAAATCCTAATAATTATTCAACTAAACACAGTAGAAGTGATTATACTGACGTCAAGGGATTTTATATTTTTAATTCGTTTACAGACAACGTGATCGAGCATTAATTGAAGAAGAACACAACCCAGGTAGTGACAGATTCCACGGTGTACCCGAGTTGCAACAATAAGTACGATGCGTTATTGAAGATAATAATTTAAGCTTTAATAATTATTAATAAAATCATCAATAGTTGAAGTCAATAGAAATTTTTGCATAGAATTTTCGTTTGTAGTCTAATTTAAAGAATTATCTCATCTAAAGGAAAAAAAAAAATTACACTTATTATATAAACCCTAAATTATTATGTATTTTATGTTTAACACTTGAAGCAACGTCATTTCTTTTTTTTTTTTATTTCTATCGCTGATTAATTTATTTAAATAACAAATTAATAAAATAAAAATTGTAATATATTATAACTAAGATTGCCAAGGGGCATTTCAATTAATAAATAAATATTTTATAAAAAACTTAATACCTCAAAAACGTTCACATAAAAACAATCTAATAATTAAGGGAGTCTTCTGGTTTAACGCCCTGATTTTTGAGCATTTTTTTTTAAAATACCAATAAAGAAATAGAACTTCTCAAGTGGCATAAATTTTTTTTTGTTAATGTTTTGTTGAATTCAAGTTGACGATTATTAATTTTTTAACTTCTTGTTAAGTAAAATGTACCAAAAAGTCAACATTTTTTTGTGACGCTTAAGTTTGAACTTTTTGACATTTTTATTTTTATATATTTCAAGAGTATACAGTTAAATTTTTAGCTAAAAACATTCAGTAGAATTAAAGTTATAGTGATCTGAAGATACCCGCCTCGAAAAAAATTGACACTCACTTCCTCCATGATATCAGCTGATTGGCTTATCTGAAACAAAAAACCCCGGTGGGATTTTAATCTATATACTTAAATACACCGTGGTGGACTACAATAAAAAAAAAATTTTGAAAATTGGATTTTTGACAGATTTCGGAACAAAAAAAGTCCGAATTCCATGTATTTTTTGTCAACTTTTTTAATACAAAAAAAATAGAAATTTTCAAATGTATACCAAAATTAATTTAATATAATTTAATTTAATGCTATGTAAACCACATAAACTAACGATACTAGAGTTAGCCGACATTTTTAATTTAATTTTATTTATAAAAATAAAACTAAAAAAACCATTTTTTCAAAATTGCACTTGAAGTTTTTTAAATTTTTTAAAAGTGAAATTTTTTTTTAAAATTATTTTGTAATAATTTTTTTATTAAAAAAAATTATAATGATTTTTAGATGTCGGCTAACTTTATTTTCATCATAAACTAAACTAAGCTAAATAGAATGACCGCGCTGCTTATCTTTCTATTTAGAAAATATTTTTTTTAAAACACTGTCAATGTGATACAAATAAAAACCATTATTATTATTATTATTTATAGAAATTTTCAAAATTTTTTTTAAAAGAGACTTGCCAAAATGAATTTATTAAAAGTTAATAAGTAACGGTTATTATATAACGTTGCAGAAAATACAGATGTAGACAATTAGTTAAATTCTAGAATATAGTACTATATAGTAAGTACTAAATGTAAATATACAGTAGAATCTCAACAAAGTTATCGTATTTCTGTCTCAATTTTCTTATAAAACACTAACAAGAGCAAAAAAGATAACTTACGTAACTTTATTGAGCGTTTAGTGTACTTTTCGATTAGTCCCAAATCCTGTTTGGGATGTTCATCGTATCGAATGGACCAATCATATTAAATAATAAAAGAACCCTTATATTTGAAATAATAATTATTAAATTGTCGAAAAGAGACAAAAATAAGTAAATTAGTAAAATGTTAGACAGAAAAATTGAAGTTTTAAATTTCAGGTAATAGAAAAAAAATTTTCAATCCCAGATTAATTTGTTTGAATTATACAAATTTTCATTATATAAAATTCGTAATGTACTACTATGTTATATAGTTGTTTATAAATTTTATTTAATTTTTTTTTTTTTATTTAACTGCTCCTGTTAAAGGATAAATTAATTATGTTGATAATAAAACTCATCAGTTTCATGTTATTAAATAATAAATTATAAAATTTTTATAATTTTGAAGATAAAACAAACAAATTATAAAAAAATATTGAAAATTTTATCTATTCAATTAACATTTGAATTTAAAAAAAATGACGAGAGAATAAGTTGATAATTTTAGCGCAAGTCGTAAATATAAGAAATGAATTTGACTGAGCAGTACCATCGACTTCCGTTTGGCACGACAAGCCCATGTGGTCTTAGCTCAGGCGCGGCCATATCACTTGTACCCCTTACTTACTGTATCATAAAAGTAGTTGAATTACACGTATCTATTTTTTAAAATAACAAATTACCTGTATTGCATTGGACAATAATTGTCTAAAAAGTAAGTGTAAAGTGCGACTGTTGAAATGGCGGATTTAGATGATTTTTTTGCAAAGAAAGATCGTAAGAAATCTAAAGGAAAAAAATTTACGACCACCGATGAGATTGCCAAGAAACTTGAGGAAACAGGAAAACGTATGGAAAAATTAAAACTCAAAGAAAAACCGTCAAATATTGAAGAAGAGGACCCATTAACAACAGAAGTAAGTTTTTTCTTAGCTTTTTCCATTTTAACGGAATTTTAATTTAATTTTTTTAAATTTGTTTTTTTTTTCTAAATTTAATTTTTAATTTTAATGGTTAGAGTAACCGTACAAAAAATTTAGGCTATGACGAATATGCGCTGCCATGTTTTATCTTTCTATAAACGTCATAGATTCAAAATATTAAATAAATTAACCCTCGTTGCCAGCAGGTGCTAAAAAACAAAAGTATCTGCAGTTACTGTTATTGTTATTACAATTTTTACAGCACTATAAAGTCATCAACCTGTTATGTAACCATGATCCACCACTTTCACATTAATTTTCCTGATCAATTAATTTATATGTATTTATGGATAATTTATTATTAAGTAATTATTCAGGTTATGACTTGATGGTAGAATTTACGAGAATTTTCGTGAAAAAAAAAATTAGTATGTTTTCATATGGTATAAGTTTACAAATATTAATGACAACAATACACGGAAAGAACAAGATGACACTGGATATCATCCCAGATTATACTCAGCGATATCTGTGGTGAAAAAAAATTCAGATAGTATCTAGAAAAATTCAGATTAAATAAATCATCAACTACACGGAAAGAACAAGATGACACTGGATATCATCCCAGATTATACTCAGCGATATCTGTGGTGAAAAAAAATTCAGATAGTATCTAGAAAAATTCAGATTATACTCATTGTAATCTGGATTATACTAGCTACTATCTGAAAAAAATTGTTTTTTTTTCATTCAGTATAATCTGAAATGATATCCAGTGTCATCTTGTTCTTTCCGTGTAGTTGATGATTTATTATTTTTTACTGATGAATTAATTTTTAATTACAGCAAGAAGATGAGGAATGGCGGGAATTTACGGAAGAACGAAAAGATTACACTGGTCTGAAACTGGGAAATTTACAAGTTAATGATAAATTAACCAACGGCAGCGATGATGAACGAGGTGGTGGCGAAAACAGTTCAGATGGCGAATCCGGTGAGGCTGGCTCCAAGCAAAGTGGACCGTGGAAAAAAGCAGATGTTCCAGTTGTTGAAGAAGAAGCTACAGCTGCTCCACCAGCCACCACTACTGAAAAGACCAGCACAGCAGAACCGAAGGTATATAGAACTCCACACCTTAGGAATCAATCATCTGCACCTCAGAGTCATAGATCCCGCATGAAAAATGTTGCTCCTGATATACGCAGTGAAGAATATTTTCCAACGTTAAATGCTAAACAACCGCAGAGTGGAAGTGATTCGACTGGCGTCTGGGGAAGACGGTAACTATTTTTTTTACTTGCAAATATTTAAGATGAATCATCTAACATTATTTTGATGTTTTGTATTAATTTTATTTTTTTTTTTATTTGATTCACAGGAAACGTGATGAAGGAACTTTTGAAGAAGTGCGTAACCGGGGCAGTAACAGATCATACGGTGTGCCCGACTCCCAGTCGCAAACTCCAAAATTATCGCTTGACAACAAATACGGTGCATTATCTCAAGACCAGAGCTGAAACCTTGATGATAAATTAAATTTGAAAAAATCATCATCGATTAATCGTCACTTAGCTCTGTTTCGTAGCCCAGTCATGTTTTTATTATCATTATTATCTAATATTTATATTATAATTGCGACAATTAGTTGCAAACCTGCATTTGTGCGTAATGCACGTAAATTTATGGTAATAAATATTAATTATTCGACACACTAACAGTGTCTTACTATTAGCAAAAAATTTAATCAATCTTTAATTTTACTTTTTTTGTTTTATTAAGTAAATTTAAATAAATAGTGTGCAGTATGCTCAGAACTTGAACTCAATTTAAGTAAATATACACATCAGTTTCGACTTGATCATTCTTACGGGATGCAAAGATCTGTTCATCCCAGAGATCTCATAAATTTGATGTATAATGATAATTAACAATAATATTTATAGTAACAATTAATCAAATAATAATATTTATAAAAATAAAGAGTAAAAATTAATAATAGTAGAATAAATACAAATTACAATTTGGAAATACAGCTTTCTCATTGCAGAAAGATGTGAATCATGCGATAGTTACATATTAAATATAATTATAATTTAGGACGAAAATAAAAATTTTTTAGGCAAATAATTATGTTACTACGCGTTATAGACAAAAGAGATTGATTGTAAAGGATGAAAAGCAAGTTGCCGAGCTGGGCTTCGGGACAAACGAGCGATTTTAAGATTAAAAATAATTATTTGTAAATGGTGCGCGATGAAAGATGAATGCAATAACTCGAAGTGAGTTGTCATATATCATTCGAATGTGTAGAGATGTTTGAATAAATATAAAAAAAAAAATAATAATGATAATATGATAATTATAAATTAGAATGAAAGATAAATTAATGCGACAGACAACTGTGATTTACAATCACAAATTCAATTTTTTTAACTTATTAGTATGTCTGTTATTATTTTTGTTGACGTTTGTTTTATAATTTTCGTTAGGTTAATGATTTTTTAAAAATCGTAAATTAAGGGTATGGTGTAAAGAGATTTGTATATGACCATAAAATAATCGTCATAAGAGCTTCTGAACATTAATATATATAATTTACAACAAGAATAATTTTTATTGATTTTTCTTTATGTGGTATTTAGCCAATTTTTTTTTTATACCAATTATTTTAAAATAGCCAGTAACAATTATCGTAATCTAAAAAGAATAATTTACAAAAAAATTATCAAATTAATGTTATGCGATTTTTAGCAAAGCTTTTTATCAATTTATATTCGTATGCAGCTAATTTTTATAAACGTTCCTAAGCTCTATGGCTCTTATTGTTATAAGATAATTAAAAAGCTACAAAATGATGATTAACAAAAAAAAAAAAAACAATGCAACTTTCATCAAACATGTTAATGTCTTCATAGCTGCTGCCTATGGAATTTTTGTTCATAATCATAAAAATTATTTTATTTAGTTAGTATCACATCACATAGCAATTTAGTGACGAAATCATTAATACCATACATACAAAGAAAAGTAAAAAAAAAAAGGTAAATTACATGTATAAAAACCACAAATTATCATGCATTTTATGTTTAACGGAATTATAAGCGACGTCACTTCTTTTTTTAATTTTTATTATTGATTAATATAATTAAATAAAAAATTAATAAATAAAAATGATAAAGTTTAGTCAGTTGTATAGATGTTTTTTTTACAGTTTGTAAAATTTCTATATAAATAGCATTGCTATTTTGTTTGAAAGAAAATAAAGTAATTGCAAGTATGATGCAAAAAAATAATATTAAATGTGTTTCAAAGTAATTAAATAAAATACTGTTCAAATTGTGTCTGTAATATGAAGTTCCGGTAGAATTAAAACATTTTACTTTTATTAATTTATATACGTGATAAATATATATCATATTTATTGATTTGTTAAATAAGTAATGATTATATTTTATACAAATCTAAGTGCTTCAAAAACGTTAACAATAAACCATAATAAGAATTTTTTTCCCAATCTTCCTTTGTTGATAATATTTATTTTACTTGGCATATTTTCATCCTCCTCACTTATTGTTGTTACGTTTTACCTTATGTTATTATGAAGCCGTCATTAAGGATTGATTAATTTTCTCAAATATTCAATCGCGCTTCCCTGTCTCTTAGCCGCTGAAGTGACGAATGGCCATGGCGCAACAAAGTTGACTCTGGATTATTTTTTATACAAAAAGAAAAAAAAAAAGACATGGACAAAAAATATCTAAATTAACAAACTTCATCACGATAATCATTAGAATTATCTCGATCTATTCTTTCACAATACTTTAATCCGTGATTTCCTTCGTTGCTGTAACTTTGGTACATCGGTTTTTCAAGTAAAGAGCTTTTGAATTTTGGAAGAAAATATATGTGAGCTCTTGTTGCACATGAAATACCCTATAAACAAATAATTTATTCCAATTAAAGTTTAAAACTTATCAGGTATGCAAAAAATTCCTACTACTTTGATAATTAAAAAAAAAAATCACCTGATCAAAATTAAAGTCTGGTTTATCTGGCGCTAATAAAACATCATCTTCTATTCTTGTATAAAAAGTCGGGTGTTCTTCCAGTTGATCCATTTTTTCCAACATCTTACTATCAACATCATAAACCTCGCCTAGTACTTGCTAGAAAAAAAAAAAAAAAAAATTAAGGCGTTCAAAATTATTATCACTAAGATTAGATAATATAATATTATAATTCTTATCTGTCTACCGATATTAACTAAATATTCAACCTAGTAGTAAACACTTTAATTAGGAGTTAAATAATAATCTATTATTATCAATAGAAACGAAAATACTTACATGGCCAAAACCAGGTTTATGCAATAAAAAAGGAATGTTAAAACGAGTACCAATAATTAGAGGATATTTGTTGACTGTTTTCCCAATTCCTAAAAACTTTGCATAACCATTAGCAGTATCGCGAACCAACTCATGATTCGGTTCACCACGTTTCAATGTACCATATAAAAAAACACGGTGCAATGGACTCTTAAATAAATTCTCATACATTTTAACAATTTATTTTTCCTTTATAATTTTCGTGTCAATTGATGTATAAATATTTATTTTTATTCACCTATCACATCCAAAATAACACTTTTACATGTCTATCTGCAAATGACAAATATAGATTAAAAAACAAATAGATGTTCACGACTTACAGTACTACTTGACAATGAATGATTACAAGTCTTGAATTTATAATTTACCTTATCATTATTGTTGTTATATATTTAGATAATTTGGTACTGATGTTATATTCTTATTATATATTTTACGTCTTCAATAACAAAGCGTATCATCTGCATGAAAAATTTTTGTGATGATTTCGTAGTTGCAATTATTTATTTTTATTTCCTTGGGGCGCTATCGTTTCTTTAAAATACACACGCGTGTAATCTAACCAATAAATTGCAGATTGTCGTTTATGTGGTCCGACTATAAGTTTATATATTCACATGCGAGTAACCGAAGCCGAAGGATATTTTTATATTATTAAAAACAAATATTTTTCCATTAAAATCAAAACATTGTAGGCTGTATAATATCTATTTGAAAATAAGAAATTAATTATTAGTGAAATAAACTCTTAATGTAAATAAATATATTTTTGCCGCCATCGAGACACCACAACTCATTAAATAAGAAATTATATATCATAATGAGGATTGAGGAATGAAGAAGCAACCTCGAGCCAAACGGAATTGAGAAGTGGTTGGACACTTACCTGGCGTGATAAACGTTTGTTTTTGTGTGTCAGCAAAAAATTATTAAACTGTAAAAAACGTTGGATAAACCTTACCCGGTAATATTATTAACAATAGCCATATAAGTTTGTCGAAGCTATCCGTTAGTTTTTCCCCGAGATAGATTTTTAGCTAAGCCAATAACACTTACAGATGAGAGACTCCATATCTGAGTCGGTCGTTTGCGGTCGTTTGTCCGCATGCGGCACCTCTGTACCTCTATCTTTACTTCTACCTCTGGAACTCTATGCCCAACGAATATATATATATATATATATATATATACAGTATGTACGTAAATATGTATAAATATGTACATACATTTAGTTCACATCTGCCAAAAAAACTAAATAGCGTTGGTACAACGATGTAGGTTTTATTGGTTGTTGGAAAATTTTTTAGTTATCATAAGCTTGCAAAACAAAATTTCTTTTTGATCATTAGAAAAAAAAAACGTGGTTTAGAAATAAAAATTTCGGTTATTCGACGACAGTATACAACCATACAATATGTGTGTTCATATTTATTAATATTTGCGTCGTTCCTCAGTAGTTTTAATGATAAATCACACTTTATTCAATAAATAGCTATTGAGTTTGTATGGAAATAATTGAAGAGATGAATGACATAAATAAATTTGTTGTTTTGGGTAAATAATTTCTATATATTAAAATTTAATTCATCTTATTAATATATTAATTTATGTTTTTATTTTCTGTTTGGATAGATTCATTGTCATCAGATGTACCGGGTTCCTCTGAAGATAAAAAACCAATCAGGAAATTGTACATTTCTAATTTCAAGGGAAAAGTAATTACAAATAACATTTATTTTATTATTTAATCCATTGATATTGATGTTTATTTTTTTTTGTCTGTAGATTAACAGGAAAGTCCTACAAGACACGTTTTCCGTGTATGGACAAGTAATCGAATGCCGTGGTCCATTTGTCAATGTCAATAGATATCAATTTGCTTTTATTACTTTTCTTAATCCAGAACACGCTTTAAAGTAACTATTTTGGTTATATTTCATTTAATTTTTTTATTTGTTAAGTAATTGACGTTTGTTAATAAATCAATTTATCTAATTCCAGAGCTATCGATGCTGGACGTAAAAAAAAAGTTTTATTCAATGGTAAACCATTGCGCATAGTGCCTTCATTTCCCCAAACACAACCTAGTGAAAATGATGTTGAAAAAATGTTATCGAAAAAACCCAAAACAAGTGAAAAAGTACAGAAGAAAATTCCGAAACAGAAGAGGAATCAAGTAGATCAAATAGTAGAGGGCATCGACTATATAAATCAGATTGATGATGATTGTTTGATAAATATTTTTCTATATCTACCAATTACTGATCGTATGAGAATCGAACGAGGTATTTTGATTTTTTGGTTTATTATTGCACTTATCTTAATCTATTTATTAATTTTTATAAATAATTTCAGTTTGCAAACGCTGGCAAGCCGTTAGTATGCGTTCTTGGCATGATATTAGAACGTTAGACTTGACAGGACAATTAATACATTTGCCCAAAAAGATTAAAAAGATTAAAAACCGAGCTTTTGAGAAAATCATTGAAAGATGTGGCCGTTTTTTGACAACATTAAATTTCTCTACAGTTAATTTAGGATGTAATTCTGAAGTATTACCAATAATTGGAGAACATTGTAGAAATATCACCCGACTAACTCTACAATTACGCAAATACCCCATTAAAGACCTATCCAAATTATTGGCACAAGTTGAAAAACTTCGGTATCTAGAAATAAAAGATATTAAAAAACATTTTAAAAGTGAAGTTTTGGTATTTTTGCCTCATGATTCGATTGAGGAAATACATTTATCGACGCAACAGTCTTACAATTCCTTTGATCCTAGTTTGAGATCCTTGGGAAACCCCAAAACTGCAGTAAGTATTTTTTTCATATTAAAATGAAATGACAAAAAAAAAAACTAGTTGATTAGATTATTAATTTGTTATTTGCAACAGGTATTCCGTAAATTACAAAATTTGCGTTCATTGACGCTGAATGGATTTTTCCTTAAACATGATAACTTGAAACTTGTCTCTGAAAAACCTCATTTAACTCACTTGTCACTAGCAAATTGCAGCATAAAAAAAATAAATAAACTGACGACCTCAAGCAGTTTACAACATTTGAATCTTACTAAAGTTTTAGAAGTATCCAATTCTTTACTCACTTCCCTTGCATCAAAGTGTAAAGAGTTAAAGTATTTGAATATAAGTAGTAAGTAATTTGAATTATTTAGAAAATAATAATTATGAATTGAATTAAAAAAATGACTTTTATATCAAAAAAAATAATTCTTCAAAATACGTATCAAATTATTACAATAATAATAATATAAAGTATATTTTTCAGGTTGTTCATCAGTGTCAGTTTCCGGAATTGCAGCATTAGCATCATTGCCCAGTTTAGAAGTATTAATATTAGATGATATTTATGAAGTAGCAGACTCAACACTGAGTAGATTTGTAACTTTACACGAGTTACATTGCCAAAACTGTGAAAAAGTTCATGATACAGGAATTATTGCACTGATTGAAACTGCACCTAATTTAAGATTCTTGAATGTATTTAATACAAGTGTAACATCAGACGTCCTAGATACTGCTGGTGCTATTACAAAAATACGTACCAATAATTTAAAGCTACATGTTATAGTCAGTTCACTTGTTTTGGATGAATGGGAGGGAGTTCCTGAACCTTCACCGCTTCTTGAAGTCGAAGCCAAAGATGTTACCGTATCAGACGTATCTGATGAATTTTTGTCTTATGATGGTGATGAAGTAGATCCTGATGATTTCTGGGATCTTGGTGTCGATGATTTTGATGATTACGATGATTTATATGGTATGGATGAATTTGACTACAACGGGGGCAATCCATTCTTTATATTTTGAGTTCTTCTTTTTTTTTTTTTTGAAATATTTATATAATAACGTTAACTAAATTATTTTCAACAATAATATTACAATTCTTACATCATAAGTTTACTTAATATAATGTAACAATTTTCATTTAAACTTCCAAGTGTTTTCTATATAATAAATCAATAACTCCATTTAATTCAGCAAAGTTTTTTTTTTTTTAACTTGAGGTAACCTTTGAACTTATAGAATATTTAAAAATATTTTTTTTTTCATATTCAATAAACATATATTATTAATTAAAATTAATTTAGCATACATTTAATAATTTTTAAAATTATATAACAAATAAATTGTGGCAAAAAAAAAAATTAAAAAAAATTGACATGTGAAAATTTTTAAAAATAAAAAATGCAATTTTTCAAAAATGATTTTTTGGGACAAATTTTTTTGTTAAATAAAATTAAAAAATTTCTAAGTGACTGCTAACTTTAATGTCATATATTATTAATAGTTTTTCATTCTAAAAGTAATCAATTTTTAAGTATATTTATAACAAATATTTTTTTCTGAAAAATTATAAGAATTGACAAATCGATACAAAATGATACATGTAATTTTATTGATATAATTCATTTTTGTTTTTTAATTAAAAATTACTAATACCAATGACAGAAAAAATATGTTTTTATTTTTGTAATTAAAATAATTAATTCGTAAAGGTGTGTACACATGTAAGTAAATATTATTACAGGGACGCTTCTATTCCTCACTAGAGGTCAGTTGGAGTACTGTCAGCCATTTTGTTCAGTTGGAGAGTGAGTTCTCGTTAAAGTGGCATTGTCGTACACACAGTTGATAAATCTGACGCTCTAAAATTAATTTCTATTACATATATATTCAAATATATTAATTAATAATATTTTTATATTCATCGAAGCTTGTATTGTTAGTAAAACGTGCATTTGTCAGCGTTGATGATTGGGATTCCGCGTGACGACCGGCACAAAATAACGGTTAAGATTCACAATACAATGAAACGAAGCTCGAGCAGAGACACTCCTCCGCGCGTCAAGAGAAGTAGATCCTCGATGGGAAGGTTTGTGCATTATTTTCATTCTTAATCAGCCATTATTTATATTTTATTACATTACCGTTAGGTTCATTACTATTCAACAATGATAACCAATATTTAATAACTCTTTTAATAATTTAGAGTTGACATTTTTTTAATCAATTAACTACACGCTTTCCTGCTCTCTAGTCATAAGCATTTATTGGATATCATTAGAAGCTTCATCAAACACTGATAAATATAGTAGTAGTGGATAATTATTTAATTATCATTCTTATTTAACAATGCGATCATTTTTTTTTTTTTGATTTTTTTTTTTTTTTTTTTTTTTAAAACAACTCATCAACAATTATTTTATAAATTATTGGAGAAATAATTTGTTTGTAAATAAAATATATATTTATGATACTTGTAAATAATGTTTAAATATTTTTATAATTATATAATAAAAGAATACATTACATGTCATATTAACTAGTAAATTCTATCTTATTGACGCAATCACTGATACAAACAATTTATACACATCTTATTGATATAAAAAGCAAAAAAAAAATGTATTAAAATTTTTTGATAATAAATTGTGAATTTATCAGGTACGATGAATCAAGCGACGAGCGTATCACACCCGAGAGAATACGCCGACGAAGCAGAGGAGCTCGTAGTCCAAGTCCTCCACCACGGGCGTCATCACACGCACGTTTTGTAGAGTCTAGTTCACACCGAGATGAGTATCTACGAGCACCACCACCACGTGAATTGCCACCAGAGCGTCCATACAGCAGCTATAAAGCCTTGTGCGTCAGTGCTATTCACCCAAAAGCTAGCGATGAAATTATTAAAGACACCCTATACCGTGAGTTTAAAAAGTTCGGTGAGTTTTCCATTAGAATAGCCCATGAGCTGGACGAGCGAGTGGCATTTATCGTCTTCAGAAGCTCTGAGGATGCACGAGATGCTAAGCATGCCAAACCACGAATAATGATTTACGACAAAATGGCCATTGTTGAACCAGTTTACGAAAGACCGGAAACTTATCGCCGTCCACGTTCAATTACACCGCCAGAGTATGATCGTTATTATGCACGCTCTCCAGGACCCGAGAGACACCGGCCAATAGAACGTTATGAAAGAGTATACGTTCCGCCGGTTGGCATACCGCCGCACCGTGAAATGCGACGGGAAGCAATACCACCACCGCATCATGAGTTCGTACGACCACCATTACACCATGGGCCACCCCATGTTCATCATCCAGGACCGCCACACCACTATGGGCCACCTAGACACATGATGATCCGTCATCCTGTCCATGGATTTGAGCGCGTTGAAAATAAAAAAGATAAATTTCCGAATTATCTCCATCACGTTTCACCAGAAGATGACCCATTGGCTACGCGGACTTTATTTGCTGGCAATCTTGAGATAAATATCACTGAAGAGGAATTACGGCGTATATTCAGCAAGTACGGAATCGTCGATGATATTGACATAAAACGACCACCACCTGGGACTGGAAATGCCTACGCATTCGTTCGTTTCCAGACTCTGGACATGGCGCATCGCTGTAAGGTTGAATTGTCTGGTCAATACATTGGTAAGTTCCAATGTAAAATAGGCTATGGTAAAGCAACACCGACGACTCGTATTTGGGTTGGTGGTCTAGGACCTTGGACTTCGGTTCCACAGTTGGAGCGTGAATTTGACAGATTCGGCGCGATAAAAAAAATTGATTACATAAAAGGTGACAGCAATGGTTACATCCTATATGATTCAATAGATGCAGCTCAAGCGGCGGTAAAAGAAATGCGTGGATTCCCATTAGGTGGACCTGACAGAAGACTTCGAGTTGATTTTGCTGATGTGACTCCAGGTTTTGGATTCAAACCGCGACCTTATGCAGAAGAGGGTGGAGAATTTAGACCACGAGTACCTGTAGACTATGAACCACCTTACGAAAGTTATGGTCCTGAAGGAGAATTCACTTCTTACCCTCCACGAGGATTCCGTGGTCGAGGAGGCGCACACTGGCACGATCGTCGAGGGGGCGCGAGTCGCGGAGGTGGCGCTTACCGTGGAACTTATCCTGAAGGTTATATACGTGACGAAACCGATTGGCCAACTAGGAGACCACCACCTGAATTGGAGTATGAGCCACCTCGTGGTATCAGACGATCAATTTCCAGAGAACCAGGTGTAGATCGATCGCGCTCAAGATCACCACGCAGAAGACCCATGGACTCAGACTCAGACTCGGAGAATGCACGCACTGGAATGCTGTCTACCTCACGCACTCTTGTTGAAGTTGCTCGAAAATCAATAGCTGTTTGGCAAGGCGCTCTTATTTTGAAGAACTCACTATTTCCAGCAAAATTCCATCTCACGGACGGTGATACTGAGATAATTGATGCTCTGATGAAAGATGAAGAAGGCAAACACATGCTAAGAATCACCCAAAGATTACGCCTCGATCAGCCGAAGCTTGACGATGTGTCAAAACGCATCCAAACCTCTAGTTCTCATGCCATTTTCTTAGGCCTTGCTGGATCAAGCACTGCGGTCACTAACGACGATGCCAATGTACAGACACGGCCGCTCCGAAATTTAGTGTCTTACCTGAAACAAAAGGAAGCCGCGGGTGTTATTTCTCTATTAAACAAGGACACTGAGGGTACTGGAGTACTCTACGCTTTTCCACCTTGTGCTTTTTCCACGGAACTGCTAAAACGGACGTGTCCTAGTCTCAGTGAAGAGGGACTCAAGGAAGATCATTTGGTAATTGTTGTTGTCAAAGGTGGCAGTGCCTAGACAATAATTTATTAATACTTTTTTTTTTTTTTTAATACTGATAATATTTTTTCCTTTTTTTCTCTCATTTTTTTAATATTAATTCTTATCAGAATATTCAAACAATGGAATTAGATTTTTGATTAATAATATCAATCATTATTATTATGCATTCATATATGTAAGCATATATATACATATATAAATAATTTTTTTCTTTTATATATTCAGTAGTATTCGAGTCAGGAGTTTCTTTTAATCCAATTTCTTGCTAAAATTGAATTATATCTTTTTACTCTTCTTGAGTAAAGAAATATAATTTTATGACAAATAAGAATTTTTTTTTGTATTATATATATATATATATTGCTAATAATGGATTTAAATGAAGTGTAACTGCCTTGAATTTTTAAGATTTTTCTTTATTTTTACATTAAAAAATAATGATGATCAAAATTTATGACAGACAGTTGATCATTTTTTTTTTAACTAACATACAAATTAGCATCATGACTTGACGAATGAATTTTTCTTCCACTACGTATTCATTAATAATTTTACAACAACTAAAAGTTGAAAAATTATTAAAGTAAAAACTAACGAGCTATGTAATAATATCGTGTCGTAAGTGTTAAATAACTAAGTGATTGTTAGATATCAGCAGATCATATTAACACTTTTGATTCGGCATAAATCATACACTTACAACTACATACATATAAATTTAAATACTATAACTATAGCTATAATTATTATTACACTTATAAAAAAAATTTATACATGTATATTATCAATTAACTCGCTAAGGAATTAATTAAACTTTTAATTGTTAAAATCCAAAAAAAAAAAAAAAAAAAGAAAAAAAATATCTGCAGAGTTGGTACTCATCGATCTCGAAAAAATGGACGTCCATGAACCAATAAGTCATTCGAGTAATAATTGAACGAATTATTGTTAAAGATATACCAGAGCGATGAGCGAGAGTGAGAGAGGTAATGAATTAATTAACTAATTCATTAATATAATGAACAAAAATTCACCGTTAATATCAATAGTTAATTAATCATTTGTAATCGTTTAGGTGAAAAATTGTTTCACTGTGTAAGTGGTTGTGCTGAAATGAAAAAGAAAATTTGAATAATTGTTAAAAAACTAGAAGAAAATCGTGATTTCATTAAATTAGTATCATTGTGGCCGTAGTGCTGGTGTTTAACTATTAGTTTAAAAAAATAAAAAAAAATTATAGTTTCTGTAGAGTCTGGTAAATATTGTGATGATCAAGGATTCGATGTATTTTCAGTGACAGTTTGTTGTTTCTTTTGCATCTGCTGGATATTTTGTACGTTTTAATAATTTAAATATCATTGTTTTAATATTAATACGTAATAATAATAAGGTAATGACAAAACGAAGTAATAACAAAAACGATAGATAATTATGCAAAAATATCAATCTATTAATAATAATAATAATAACAACAGTAGTTAACTATAACAATGAATATATGGTTCTAAAAATTTTATATTGTGAAGTATTTTGTTTTGGTGGCTAAAGTGCAGCTTGATGATAAGGATATGCGATTTGTTTTGTGTAAATTTTTTTTTTCTATTCGATTACTATTGACGAAAATGAACAAGTTAACTTGCGTTTAGTATTTACAAACAGATAAATTTAATTAATGATGATTAAGTAAACCTAACAAAAATGAAAGAAATAATTGTGTACAGTGATGTAAAAAAATATTTAAATAACAAAAGTGATTGTTAGTGTGTACTCGTCGATCTCTCCTATTATTTAGCGATCATATTATGTTTGATTTTTTTTTTTTTTTTTTTTTTTAAAGTATTGATTAGTTTTTTTTAATGTATTTATTGACTCTGAGGCTTATGGATCGATTTACGCGATTATAAAAGTAATAAATAAATATATATGACATATAGTAAAAAAAAATAAAAAAAAAAAAACAGTAATTAAACAAAATAATGATTGAGGAGAATCGACGAAAAGAGGTGCAGTGGATCAAGTGTATTAGGTGTGTTTGAAAAAAAATTGATAAAATAGATGCCGATATGCAGATAATAAAAATAATAATGTGTGTTTATTCTAAAACCGAGGCCCAAGTTCCTACTGTTGATGTTTTAATGTTAAGTTCTATAAGTTTAGTAAGCTATTGAGTTTCTATAAAATTGGTTTTAAAGTTCAAGTTAAGGTTGAGTTTGAAGTTTTTTCGTTTGTTCGTGCATTCAGTGACGTTTTTTTTTTTAATCTTCAATCACTAAGTTCTGATCTCATATTATTGTAATGAATTTTAGATTTGAACTATTGAACATGAATATATAAATTCTCTAATTACTATTTCTCTATACTTTTTAAAATAACTTTTTTACTAGTCAAAGTTTTGTTCGTTTTAAGTGAGATGAAATCTAAAGAGATTATACTTGAAAAATCAAGACAAGTGATATCAAAAATGGTGCTGTGTCATACATTTCTTTAAATTTATTTTTTTATTCATTTATTAAATCATTAGTTTATCAATTGTGCACCAAAGTAACGCGTGATTCCTTATTGACAGATCGTTTGTGCAGATAATCTTGATTAGTGAGTCGTGTTATTTATTTATTTTTTTTTTTTTTTTTTACTCAAACGTCAAATGCTCGTGGTGGTAAAGTGAGTCGGTGATCTTTTATTCAGAGTAAATCAAGGATTATTTTTCTATTTCAGATTCATTGGCTGTCTTCAAGTTTGCTAAGTTCTTGCAGATCTTAGCATATCTTGTAGCAACAAGTTAAAGTATCTATATTATTTTTTTAAAAAATCTATAACAAAACAATGCAAGGTATATTTATTTAAGATTGTTTAAAATTAATTTTTTGGTCGATAAAGTCAACCCTGCTCAGAATTTAGTAAAACTGAACGCAGCCATTATTTACATAATAGTATTAATAATAGTAATAAGTACATGGTAAGTTCGTAAAAGAGACAGAGGTAGAAGGAGAATTTAGTTTTTGTTTCAGGTTTCCAGTTCGATTCCACCTGAAGATGCATCAAGAAAATGACTATTATATATTAAATTTTACTCACTTCACTATACTTTCTATTTGTTTTTTATATTTAAAAATATTCAACAAAATTAGATTTTTATAAATATTTTAATTAATACAGAATTTCAAGATGACTAAAGAAAATATTCAAGAGGACCACATAAAAATACATATTCTTCAAATGTATGTTTTAAAAATAAATAAAATATCAAAAAAATCTATCTTTATATATTCATATTTTTTACATATTGTTATTTTCTAATTAGAAAATTAATTAATCCTAGCAGCAATATTTTTTGCTCGAGTGAACGCACTAAAGAGTACATAAGAATTTACAATTAACACAAGCATTAGTTTCACTTCCTATTATTATGATTATTATTATTATTTTTTATTATTTATAAGACGTCTCAAAAAAATAATAATTCAAATCAGCAGTGCGGTTAAAATGAATAGTAATGCAGGTGCGCATGCGTGAAAAATATTTAATGCTCGAGTCGCCTTCGCGGGCGTTAACCCATGCTTTTCTAAGAAATAACGCCTTACTGCCAACAATCAATCGTACGCCCATCATTATCTTGAATAAATATCGATTTACAGTAACTGTAATTGTTCAATAAGCATTAGCAAAATCCATAAATCCTTGGAGCCATTTAATATAAACCTCATGTCCAATTAGTTGGAATACATTTTTCATAATAACTGATCCAGTCAAGTCGATTATGTAAAAATATAACACAAGGGACAAGTAATATATTACTTATAAATATATATGCATATGTATATATATATAGGTAAGTTGAATAAGTATTGATAATAATAATAAAAAAAAACACCACGGCATGGAGTGTAAGTCCAAAGTCACGGCGCAGGTCTGTTAGTGTCTGGTAGGTTTCTGATGTGTAGATTGTATATATTTACAGAGTTGATAGTGTGCCAGTATCTAGAGAAGACAGCGAAGAGAGAGCATGAGCACTCTGTAGAGAGAGTGTGTATCATCATCATCACATAGCACGGGCGGTGTCCAATAGTCAAGAGTAAGACAACAAATTATCAAAGAGAAATAGTTGAGTAGATATAGGCGTGTGTTTTATAGTAATAGCTGGTATTATGCTGGTGATCTCAATGTCGGTATTCCGTACTTTACTCCGCAGTCAACGGCATCGTCTCGGGCAAGAAGCAGTACCAAGTTTAAGAGCACCGCGGAGAAAATAATAAAAAAAATAAGAGGAGGCTTTTGGAGTATAGTTTCGTAATACATAATATAACTATAACTATACTAATACACAAAAGTTTTTAATTTAACAGCAACATTAGTGTTGTTATTTGTTATCTTGTTTAGTGCCGAGAAACCCAGGAGTCGCATAAATAACACCTGACACACCTGATTTGACGGGTAAAAAGCGAGGGAAAAGCCTGCAGATGCCTGATGTGAGGTTTAAGTGCTGGTCGGTGGTGTCTCGTTTTTTTATTTTTATTTATCTTGTGATTTACAACAGTGTAGTATGATATTATAATAATTTTAAGCCCTGAAGAGGAAGAGCTTTGAGTTTTATTTTTTTAGTTTATATTATTGAAGTTTGTTGTGTTGATAAACAAGTGGTGCTGAAGAGTTTTAAGCTCTTGGGTTGATTGATGATTAAATTTAAATGGGAGTTGGATTCAAAAAGAGATACAAAACCAGAAATATCCTAATGGAACACTACATTTTTATAGAGTATGTTTTTATTTTTATTTTATGTTAATCAGTGGCTATAAGTATTATGAATTATTTGTTTATTTATTTTTATTTGTTGTATTTTGATTGTAGCTTCTGTCAAGTCGCTTTGTTTGATTTAGAATGCTAATGATGACAACCGTAGGAGTTTGATCTACTGAGTTTAATTGAAGATTTTTAAAAATGTCACGAGAGTTTGACATACAAAAAATAAGATCGTTGGCTTTTGTCAAGCCAGCGTAATCAAGTCAAGTGCATCTTTGTTATTTTTCTATTGTTGAAATTTATTTCGGTCACAAAACTTTTGGTAGTCGTTTGGTAAAATAAAAGTATTTTTTTTTTTTTATGACGAAGATAAACTAGGGAAACTAAAGAAGATATGAGGCGACACGATCCCGAAAACGGGTCGTTGTATTTATCAGGTAGTTTATTTAATATTGTAGCAAACGATCCGTTGTTAATTAATGATCTGATGGAAAAATTTTATTTTTATATTTATGTAGGATAAAGGTAATGAATGAACGGTTGAAATAATTTATCGGTTGACAAAATACCGGTCACTGGGTTTTTCTTTCATCTTTACTTTATTCGGGCACTGGGTAATCTACATGTATTTTAAAATTTTCTAATTTTAATAAAATCAATAACTTGAGATCAAAAGTTCAAAACCAACTAAACTTAATAATTAATAATTTTTAAGCTGATAAATTATAATACAAATGTTAATTCATTAACCAAGTCAGCCTAGATTTCACGTAGAGTACATTATCATTGCTCTGGCTTGTAACGACACTTAGCAATGCATTATTTTTCGCCAGATTTACTTTAGCAAGAATATAAAATATCGTGTCAAAGCTTTAAACCTAACAGCAGAGCCTCGTAAACAGAAAATAAAGTAAAAGAATAATAATAAGAAAGCTGCTTGCTGTTTTATACCCGCAAGCTTCGCAACCAGGCTTTGCATAAAAGCATTGAAATTCAGCAGCATAAAAAATAAGGACAGACATTAAAATTCAGTACAATAGTCACAACAATAACAACATTAAAAAATATACGAGCTTAGTATTAGTACGCTTTATATATGCAATTACAATTGGTACAGTATACAGTATAGATATGATATGAGACTCGTTATATTTGCTGGTAATATGAGCTTGAAGAAATGAATCGAATGACGTTTTAAATACTCGTACACTTTACTATGTTATTGTATGATAAAGTATCTCATGAATGAGACACAACACTACATTATATTAATATAGTCTTCAATGTTCACGCAAGTATTTCAAACATTCATATGTACATATATGCATATATACAGACACATACTCCAATTGTATAGTTGGCAAGGACGCATATCTAGACTTTAAGAAATGAAATAGCTGGCAAAACTTTCGTATGTCGCAATAGCTATACAATTATAAGACCTAAAAATATCTCATAGTCTTTAATCACTATAATTATTTATCTTAAAAATTATTATTATTACATTATACTATTAATGATCAAAATTTAATTCTCTATCGATTTTTATGGATCGATTAATTTATAATTAATTTCAATTATGGTATTATTGTTAAATATGCGTATCGACTAATTGTAAGGTCATGATAAAAATATAATTGTGTTTATAAATATTACATCTATATACATATACATAACTATGTACATAAATAATCTTATCGGAAAGTATTTATACAACTTAAACATATCAGTAAATATTTATCTTGGCTTGTGACACTGGAGTGTGTATTGACGGGAGATTACATATATTATTATAACTCGAGCACGTGTTATTACAGAAGCTAAAGCCTGGAGCTTGTGTATGTGTACGATATATACATACATGTAAATTTTACTTTTATGTATGGCGCTCGTCGAAGCGTTACATCACATAGCCATCACTCGAGCACACGCTTAATTATCAATTATTATTTTTTTTTTTTGTTATATTTACGATATAATCCTTCAGTCACTTAAAATCTTTGTTATGTTATTTATAACAGTAGATTTTTTATGAATTTATCTATCAATTTGTCGATTATATTTATCATCGAGTCTCTTTATATTACTATACTTTTGCCGCTCTATAAATTTATTGACATGGTATTTTATTTATTATGATGGAGAAAAGAGTAAGCTATGTTTATCTATTGTATTGTATATCTATACAATATTAAACATGCCTATAGTTGATTATATTCATGCGGGAATGAAGATCATCAGTGATTAGTGTTTTTCATAAAGAACAATATATATAATATTTATTGATGTTGATAATTGTTTATGGTCGCGTGCTTTCTGTCTATTTATATTTTTGATAATTTAATCCAATTAGATTATTAAACTTTCATCGTTAATATATTCTGATTTATTATTTTATTATTGTTGTTATTATTATTATTATTATTATTATTATTTTTAGTTTGTGTTTTATTATTTAAGGAGGATGGCCTTACACGCTTTGCGCAACTTATATTCATGTTCACACTGTTGCAATGATTGATTATTATTATTAAAAATTCATGAGTAATGCATGAGTAAATAAATTGATAAATGAAAAGTAGTATGAGAGAAAGAGAGGAGATAAATTAATTTGAGAATGGAAAATCGTCCGAAGATTGAAATTGTACGAGTATCATCAACGGAACGAGGAAATTTCCGTCCTCTCGATGGTGTGCAATTGAGGGCTGCTTTTAGTCACACCAGAATAGGTTCATATTGTCCAGAACCAGAAATTGAAATGACCTCTTGTGAAAATAAACCACCGAGTCATACAAAAAAATTTAAAAAGTTAGTATCCATTTTTTGTTATTAAAGATTTTAAAAAGATAAATCTTTTTTATTTTTTATTTTATCTGTAATATTTATTAAATAAAATGATTTATTTTCAGAAATTTGGGACCAGTATCAAAACTGCTCAGGCGTCGTCAAGGGACGTGCCTTGCCACTAAGTCCTGTGATAACATTTATAATGTCAATAGAAATAGTTCATCTTTAGATTGGAGAATGGGTCAACGTCCTTCAGATCCACGTAAGTCAAGTAACTTTATCATTTTTATATCAACACTTAATATTTTAATTAAATAATTATTTTATTTTATTAAATTTAGTTCACCAAGGGCGCCAAAGTAGTAGTTTAGACTGGCGAATGGGAAGAAGAGTGAATTCTGATTGGCAAGACACAAGTCGCAGTGCTGAGCACTTGCTATCACGTAGCCCAAGGTTTGGTGGTCACCGTACGCCCACAACAAAGTATGTTTCAAATCTTATTAATATTTTTTATTAAATAAATTTTAAACTAATAACGAAAATTTATTTCTAGATCAAAATTAGTTTCGTTACTTCGTCGATTATCTCCGCGACTTCCGCGACCAGGAAGTAAAAATTCGCTTCCTTCGTCCCCAATGGTCTGCCCATGGATCCGAGTGGAGTACTCAACAGAATCAGTAGACGATCCGCGACACGCAGAATCCCAAGACAATGATGTCAGCTACCAGCAGGAGTTGCAGTTGAATGAGCTCAGAAAGAGAATGCTCAGTGCCTCACCCTCGTCCTCGGCTTCTCAGGTACGTCTTAAATGATCACAATGTCCCTCATCATCTGGCTATCTATCAATATAATTATTATTATTATTATTATTATTATTGTAATAATAAATAACTCCATCTTCATCTGGACCTTCCTTTGATCCTAAACTAATTCTTGATCAACTGGAACGATTGTCTCCTATACACGATATAAATCGCATGAGCGAGGCCCTGTCCAATCATTTGACTGAGTAATATTAACTTTGTACACACTTACTTAAATTGTTAGCTCAATCGATCGTAAAGAAAAATTTTTTTTATATTTTATTAAAATATAAATACTAATTTTTCTAAAAATTTAATATTATTTTATTATTTCAGATGCCAAATAATCAAATAATTATAAGTATTGCCAATGATGAGAATCAAAATATTCAAGGCAACAATATTAAATTGGTGGAAGATAAAAATTCGTTAGATAAATCGTAAGCTATTTATCTATATTTAATTATTTAAATTTCAATTAATTTTTTTGCCACTAACAGTATTTAATTTTTGATAAGCATTTATAATAGATTACTATTTTACTGAATCTATCGCTTCGGTTTTTGATAATAATATTAATAATTAATCATTATAAAAAAAAAAATTTTTTTTTTGGGCTAAGCAAGTAATAAAGCACTTGTGAAAAAAAAAATGTTGATAATAAAATGTGCTCACACCTGTGGCAATGTATTTAATTAGTTAATTAATTCATAAGTGTGCATGGTTTGTCTTATTATTATTATTAGTTACTTTTTTTCATACTCATATCTCTAACATTTATCTTGTGTGTATATAAATATACATGCATCTGAATAAATATTAATTAGCGTATAATGTTTGTATATCTGCATTTTTGTGTCATATAAGTCTCAGTATTTAAAAAATTAATCAATGAATCTAAAAATTTTTTTACCTAATATATCAATAACTTATCACTTATAAATTATCGAGTAATTATAGAGCGTGGAATTATTTTTTAATCAAAGAAATTATTCATTAACACAGTTATTAAATTGATATATTAAACAAAACTTAAGTAAATCATTTTATTAAATAAAATAAAATTAATAGATTGACATCAATACTGATAATTTTTTATTAATACAAATACTATATTACATACATCATGTAGGATTATATCCCAATAATTGAAATTTAGTACAAAGAATTTTGATTAGACATGATTTTATAAAATTGATCAGTACTTTTATTATCAATTAATCAGTAGTAATTATTATTTTATTAATTTCATTACTACTGGTATATTACACATTACATTTTGTGGATTTCTATATTTGTTTATATATTATTATTATTATTATTATTATTCATATTATTATTAAATGTGATATATCTTTTTCCCCTTTTCATATTATTTTTATTGTTTATCGCCATAAACCAATTTTATTCACGGTACGTGCAAATCAGATTGTAGTAATATCCCTCAAAATAGTGATTAACGTACTTATGAAGCCTGCAGGTACTCAATTCTTTATAAACTAAGCAGAGATAATTGTCTTGAGGAGCGATATGGATAAGAGCGCTTTCTTGTTCTTTAGGATCCAAGTAGTCAATAGTTTCTGATTCGGAAACATGCATAGTATTGAATTGCATGATAACATCCAGTGTTCCTGGTTCGATGTTACTGTCATCATAATCATCCATTTCATCAACATTGTCTCGGTCATCCCCGTCTTCAGAGGATCTCGAAGAACCAGAAAGATAATCCCCGATATCCGAAACGTCTGGGTCCTCGGAATCAGGATGCAGCGGTGGACTTCTCTTGAAAAAGTCTTCTGATTTAGAGCAAGATGCCTCCTCAGATTCATCTTGCTTATCAACCTTAGGTTTTATGTCTTTCAAAATACTGCGTAGTACATTGCCATCATTAAAACCATCATCTTCACGATTACCGTTATTGCCGTCATCATTTCCAACTGATTTTTCCTCTTTTTTATCTTTCATCATCTTGGTACTGAAATCAACTGATTCTATTTTTAAATCACTGCATTTTTTTTGTAATTTACTCTCTTCACAATTATTAAGACTTATTTTATCATCTTCAGCTTCATCATTGTCATGATTTTCATCGGCAGTATCTTCATCAGCAGCTTCTCCATCAGAATCATCTTCATCATCAACAGAGTCTTGACTTCCTAGAGTATATTTACTGTCAACAACACGACAACCATTAATTTGTTCCTCATCCACATCTTCATCACAATAATTATCACAGATAAGAGTGTAGCAGCCTTTAGACCATCTCTGTAGTTCAATCGTCATCCTCGGTTTCATATTTTCATTATCAGGAATTAAATCCAACTCAGTATAATTTTTCAGTAATTGAAAAAATGGCAGCGAGCGAAATAATTTATAAAATTTTTTCAAAGTACCTGGCAAACTTGACTCATCAGCAACTTCATAATTACGTAAATTTGCCGGTCCAACTTTATTCCACGTTATTGAATCGTCGGTTATTTCCTTAGACAATTTTTCGTAAACCTCAGCTTTGAGAAATTGTGCAATATAAGCGTACGATTGCTTTTCAACGTCCTCTTTGATACCAGCAACTATACCAGGACATAAATAAGTATCAGTGATCCAAGCAGTCAAATCTTGATCATCGTCCATTGGAATTAACCATTTGTATTCAATCTGGGGTCTTGGTGGTAAATTTTCAATCTTCGGCCCGTGGAACCATCCGTTGATAGACCATCTAGATAAATTGGACGTTATCTCAGCTACCTGATGGTAAGAGTGGTTTGAAACCTCGAAAAAGACAAGAGAATTATATTCTGGCATCAGAGAACGAACAATTTTACGAGGTAATCCTTTTTCATCAGTATCAAATAAATCGAGTGTACCCCCATCAGCTGCAGTCCAATTGGACATCAAATAAAATATGAATGCTATTTTACGATCACCCATGTTATCATCATGACAAAGTAGATAATCAGTGTCATAATAGCACGAACCAGTCATTGAAATTGTTGAATTCAATTCGATACTTGTGTTTTGTTGCATCCACTCGACCATGTCAGTACGAAACGTTCGATGAAATACCTCAATACTGTCGATCAAGTGATTCCCCAAGTCACTTGTTTGCTCAAGTTGATACAAGTCCAGCATAATCCTTTTACTCTGAACCTCAGACAGTTCACTCTTTAAATCCTCCATGAATTGTTGGTTCTTGATAAAATTTGAAATTTTGCAAACACGAAATGGTTCCGAAATAATTTCCAACTCATCAGATTTGAAGCTCATGTGATTAGACCAATGTTTACGAAATATATCTTGAAGCTCGACACTTTCAACATGATTTGACAAGATAGACTGTCTGGCTTTCTTCAATGCTGGCTCTTCGTTATTCATAATTATTACCTCAATTTATTCTAATCTCAGTGCTCGAATATTTTCTTATCGAATCTTCCTTATAATTACCAATTATTTTCAAATCACAGTATCATTTTTATTATTATTATGATTATTATTATTAAGGTCAATTATCTAATTTATTTTTTTTTTAACAATTACTCTTCATGACCCATAAATTCATATTAACAATATCTACCGGTTCTCCAAAAAAGATTTTCTTATGAGAAAAAAAAATCAGCGTAATTATGACAGATTTTTAAGAAGTAAATTAATGACGTAACAAAAATAAATCGTTTTGCGAATACCTTGTTCTTAATAATCAATATTTATAGTTAATAAATATTATTTATTTTATTTCCTTTGATATCAGTCTAAAAAATCTCTCATTTGATATTACGTGATATAAATTAACAATTAAAATAACTTTCGGCAGTTGTTTTCAAAAACGTGGGGCCCACGTGGTCGACGTCTTATACCACATGTAATTTTCCCTACAATAAAATATTTATATATTTTAACCGATAATTCAATAAAATAATACCACATATATATAATAAAAATATAATTATATATTTTAGTTACCTTTTACTGATGACTGTTGATAATTATTTTTACATCTGCTGACCTCGTGTAAAGTTAAAAATTTTTTCGCAAATAGAATTCAATATATCTCTTCTTGTCACTCTGCTCCATACTGTGTTCTTCATAAAGTTTATTATTACTCCTAAAAACATTGACCCGATCGAAACACCAGTGACGTACACCTTCTGATAACGCCCTCTTTAAATAAAAAATTTTTTTTCCGCTCGATATCATTATAATTATATCATAAATCAATTGCTTCAATTAATTATTAAATACTTTGATAAATAAAAAAAAAAAAAAATAAAAAGAAAATTTTTTCATTCACGAAAAATTTATAAAAATTTCAATTCAAAATTTAGCGCGCGCAAAATAATTAATTAATTCGGCTTCCGAGCGGTCGCGCTACAATCGCACTCAGATCAAGATGGCATCCGCGTTTCCCACGTTTGACGGTTCGCGTTGTTCACCAGTGTGACGGGTTAAATGTAAAAAAATAAATTTTAGTCAGGCACACCCTTGAATAAATCTTAGTTTCTTAATAAAAATTAAATAATCAATTGCCAATAAATAAAAAATTGAATAATTTTACCAGCCCGTAAATTGTCACGCGAAAATTAAATCTTACATCAGCCGTTGACGGGCGGCAAATAAATATGTAAGTAAAGAAAAATAATTTATAACATAAATATTAATTATAAAAAAAAAATAGATAACAAGCTTTAATAATTTTTAATTTAATTTGGTGATAAAGATGGGTCCGTTATATTGTGACAAGGCAGCCAAAAAAATGCTTAAATAAATAAATAGAACGAAGTAAAGGTCGTGCTCGCGTTGTATAGTTATAGATATACTTACAATATCATACCAGTAAAGCTACATGAGTTTAGTAAAACAGAAAAAGAGGTGGTAGTGGTTATTCATTGGTATTACATTTACCACCTCTACACACAACACACCAACATCATTTCTTCTTAACTTGTGTGTTATTTCCCCTCCGGGAAAAACACCGTTGCTCTTTACCGCTGTGTACATTGCAACGTGAACGTCTCAGTGTCTCTCGTTCCTCATATTTATATTTCATCGTCTCTTATCCTGTGAACTACCTTCAAGTGTCTACTTCCTCAAAAATCCTTTTAGTTAACACAACATACTACATATAACATTGAACCTCTGTGCTTCGTTCTATTTCATTGATTTATTGCTATTACTCAAGTTAAATTATTTATTTAATGTTCACTTGTCTTATATCAAGGACCTAGTTATTAATTTGACCTGTTATTATTTAATATTTAAATAGAAAAAAAAAAAAAAAAAAAAACGGAGTGTCTCAATTGTGTGTTGATTAGTTATATTCTCCACCAACTAGATCATTAAGCGTCACCTGTTTATTATCACCGCATGCAGGAATTTATCGCAGTGAGTTTAATTACATACCAGAATTTTTTTCATTATCTGTAATTACCTATTTAAACGTAAACTATCGTTCAATAATAGTTATTTTAAGTTAAGTTAAGTTAAGTTATGTATGACATTTGTCATGAATCAGCTTGCGTTCAATGAAAAGTTATCTACTAAACAATAAGTAGAACAATAATCTAGTAAACAATACATATTGTACCATTAACTTTTGTTTTCATATTTATTTATTTATTTACTTTTTTAAATCATTATTATTACTATTTTTTGCGGACATTTTTCTCTTTATTTTATTTTGCAGTTTGGAGTATCGATTAAATATTAAACGTGGAGAAAATTTTAATGGCTACGCAAAGATTACTAAGCCGATCGATAAAAGTATATTTACAAAAGATGACTGTTAATTTAGCGATCATCAGGTATAAATAATAACGGCAATATTACGAGATGCATGATGACGGTGCCAGTGTATCGACCGGTATCGTGTCGACCTTGAACGGTACTTTCTTTATACTAGCAAAAGATTTCTCAGCTTCTTACATTTAGGTGACTCGTTATGTACTACATTTTAAAGTCTATCAGCCATTAAATTTTATTGTGGAAAAAATAAAATATAATTATTACTATAATGAAGTGAAAAATGTAAATGATGACAAATAAGCGAGCAGCGGGGAAATTTAATTAGATTGAGCGAGAGATTGATGTAATTTTCTTCCGGCACTCTCAGTCAATCCATTCGTGCTAAATGAAATAACGTTGTTATATTGTGATCACGCCTCTGCTTGTACACTATTCGCGATTAATCACATCCACTAAATAACTAGTTACTAGTACTATTACTATACATGCAGTAATATAATATAAGCAATCTTGATGTCTTCTATGGGCAATATAACGTCAATATAATAAGCTGTCTCCAGATAATTGAGCTTGTCGAGAGTAGGTTCAATTACCCAAGCCTCTTTCAATCCTACTTATCAATGGAGAAGGTGAACAGCTAAAATAATAATTATTATTATTATTGTTATCACAATAAACTACAAAATAAAATATTAGGAACACTTATGCCCAATTAACATTGACCCTATTAACGTTTGTTTAATTCCGTTATTCATTGTTTGACCATCTTTTTCTTTGTCTTACATTTAACTTTTCGTTCTTCCATTGAACACTTCAAACGCATAATGTTTAATGAGTTCTGTTGTTCTATGTACCCACGTTTAACTGTATTTTTTAGAGTTTGTAGCACATATATTGTGATTAAATTATTTTATAGATCTTAATTTTTCCAACAAAGTGAATTTTCAGTTTGACTTAAATTATCCACACTGATAGAAGGATTTGTTAATATTTAATAAGCTTTATTAACTGTTAATAAATGATTTTTTAACATCATGGGATTTAATAAATATTTATTAACAGTTAATAAATTATTTATTAAATACAATTTAACAAATATTAATATATATTTGTTAACAGTTAAAAAATATTTATTAACAGTTAATAAGTATTTATTAAGTAGAATTTATTAACTGTTAATAAATATTTATTAATAGTTAATAAATATAATTAACGTTTTTAATATTTAAAAATATAAAAGATAATTATGAGCTGTGATAGAATTTGGTAGATTACAATAAATGTTATTATAATGTAATATAATTAATGCAAATAATTTATAAAGATGATTTTTGTTTATAAGCAATCTTCATATCATACCTATGACATTGTAAGCCAAACAAATTCACTCAACAAAATATTTATCAACTGTTAATAAATATTTGTTGACTTTGTTGATTTTAAATAACAAAATTATAGTTTTTTTTAGAGATGTCAAAGAAAATTGAAAATTTTTCTTCAGCTAGCACAGTATAAAAAAAAAACTAAAAAACAACGACTAAATAAAGAATTTTACCATTTTCACTTATCAATGATAAATTTTCAAACTAAAAATTAAATTGACGTTTCAAGTATTTGGATTTTTTAAAAGTTTCAATTACATTTGTGTGCGTTGTTTTATTATTTATCATATTACGCTACATACTTTCTATCTCTCATCGTATGTACATTAAATTCCTGAGTGTGCTTAAAAGTTTATCCGGAACATAACAGGTTCTTTCGATGAGATTCTCCCTCTCTGCAGAGATTCTCTCTCTTTTCATCCTCATTTGATATTCATCACACCTTTTTATGTCTATCTGCAGTTATTTTAGACTCTTATCAAACGGTATTAAACGTACATAACACACTTACTATATATGTAAATAAATAAATAAGTTAACTATTATAACGCAGAGCTGTCATGTCATATGTTGTATTGCTCGTTTACTACTTTGGTATTTAATTGCATACATAAAATGATGCGTAGGCGTTTTGTCGATATTGTGACGTAGCTAAACCTGCATCTTGGACTTTTCCCTTTTTCGGAAATCCGGTTCCTCTCGTTTGTTAGTTGACATACATGTTATGTATTATAAGCTTTTCCTTTAAAAAAAACATTCACTCACTGGATCTACTTTCTGTTATTTTATTTTTATTATAATTTATATCATTAATTTTAAATCAGCTGATCGCTCTATTTATTCTTACGTATCACATTCAATATACTTAATAGTGTTGATAATTAAAAAACGACATTGAATTATCCTTTTTGAAGTAGATTAATTATTCAAATATTTATCTATCATTAGGAAGTTGATTGTTATTTTTTGTAGCAATATTTTTTAACAATTATTTTTTTTTTATTAAAAAAATTTATTTATTTAACAATCAATCAAAGTACATTCTTATTTCTAAAATACATGATATTAGTCATGATTGAAATTCTAAAATACTGTATTTTAATTTAAAAAATTGACTTATAATTAGAATAAGATAATTTAAAAGTCAAAAGTTTTCCTAGCCGTAAAAATCAATTTAAACTTTCTTTTAAGAAGAAATTTTTTTAGGTAAATTTTTTAATTAATTTTAAAATTATTTAAAATTAATTTTTCAGT